GTGTGAGAGAGTGTGAGAGAGTGTGAGAGAGTGTGAGAGAGTGTGTGAGAGAGTGTGTGTGAGTGAGTGTGTGTGAGTAATAACTCTGGCAGGAACTCTGTGTGTTGAAGTCCTTGACTAGTGTCACCTGGAGGTCGTTCCACACGGAGCGTAAGACTGAGCAGGCCACAGGGTTCATTGATGGAGATCTGATCGAGAGCTTCCTGGATCTGGGTCGAGCGAAGATGCAGGAGGTGGTCAGCACTCTGCAGGTGATCATGCGCTCGTGTTTCTTCATGATTCATGCTCTGAAGGTTTGCGCTCGCGAATCGTCTGTCGTATCATACGGTGATGAGCGGTTAAAGCTGTGTCTCCCGGCGCTCTTTCTGGAGCCGTGTTTTACTCGTCTGACCCGTCTCTGGCAGGTGTGTTTGGATAGGAAGGGTTCAAAAATGGCTCTGTCCAAAGACAATATTAAATTATTACCACAATACTGATTTCTCACTAGACATAAAGTCAAATGTTAAAAAAAAAAGGGCAAAATCCAACATCTATACGCAAACTGACAGCCAACTGCAATTTTCAGACACCTTTTATTCAGCTCAACTTTCATATAATTGCACATAAAGGATTGTGGGATATCATAGGGGTGTTCCATGTCATGGCAGTAAAGATAGTGTTTGTGGAAACTCTGGATTTGAGTTTGAGTCGCCTATGACAATAATATATAGGCCTTGATTAGATTTACAGAATATTAGTTGATTAAAATGAATAAGAACAAAGCAGAAAATTCTTCATTTTACAGAAGCAGAGTTGAAAAATCTTGCCCTTACATAAAAGTATGAAAGTTACCCGTCTATAATGCTGTGACCTGCGTAATTATGACTCTTAAATATGAACATCTGTACATCAGTGCTGCCCTCATGAATCCATCAGAAGAAGCTGTCAGCAGACAGGAAGTGATGCGATCGCTGGATTCCTTCCTACAGTGTTTTACTGCTGCTGTGCTTCCAGAAACAGGGCTGGAAACCCCGAGCTAAAGATACATGTTCACCAAAGATTGATGTTTTCATTTAAAAGATTATTTAATTGTAATAAAAATACCCCTTTCCCCTGCTACAAAGATGGTTCTGCAGCAGATGCTAATGAGAGAAGCACGCGATGCTGCAGTGCGCTTGTGTAAACTACATCTGTCTTCATTCGCTCGTGTGTGTGTGTGTGTGTGTGTGTGCTGCAGATGGATGACGGCAGCGGGATGAAGCGCGAGGCGACGGTGGACGAGGTTATTAAAATCGTGGAGGAGCTGACGCGGATCCACTAACCGCGAGCGTCACACATCTGTACATAACTAACCCTACATCAGAGCGTGTGTGTTTGTCCACCTGATGAATAGAGTTCAGTCACGCTCACACACTCGTCTTCATGTGCTTGTCCTGAGCCTCCAGATGAAGATTCTGCCAGCACCGATCCGCAATAGCTTTAGTGAAGCGTTTATCAGTGTGGTGTCTCTGTTCGTTCATTTATTTTAATAAAGTTTCCTTCAGTACTTTGGGCCTGTTGTGTTTTATCAAGTCTGTGTGTGGTCTTTTAATAAGAGCAGCACATTACATGAGAGATGAATGGAGTCATATTATCTCCTCTGCCGTGTGCCGCTGCTATTGAACGTGTCTGGATAATGTGCACTAAACCCAGACAGCTCAAATCAGCCGGACTGTACATTATCCTGTGTATTACATGACTGCTTGCTTCATACATAAATCAATGTACATGAAATATTGAGTGTGCATTATTTTATTATGAGAAGCAAGAGAGTGATATGAGACACAAGAAACGGCAGTTTAGCACTCATCATGTCTGTCCTGATCCACGTAATATAATCATAAGTGCACGCTTGATTGAAAGAATATCAGTCGTTAATACATTACACAACTTATTGTGCTTGGTGTCAGCTCTTATGAATATTATTTATTTTTATTATGTTTTTTTAAAGCTTTTGTTCATTTTCCAAAATTCTTGACAAACCAGGACTGGTGAAGTGTCCATCTGTAGATAGTTTGAAGCAGACGAGTCATACTTGACAATCCACAGCTGGATTTATTTGGGTAACGAGCAGAACACATTTAGTTTCTATCCTCTCTGATCCTTCTGTTTGAGGTTATCGAGTGGAAGAGCTGAATCAGCTGTGTTTAATCAGGGAAATGTGTGCTGTTGGTGGGAAGTTCTAGGCACTGGTTCCTGCTCTGGCAGAACGGTCTCTCTCATGTTTCTGGTCTGTAAATGTTCAGACACTGCAGTAGATACTCAGCAGAATGAAGTTCATCATCCAGCAGATCACACACGGACACAAATCAGCCTTGATGAAAGTGCATGCAGTAATAAAAGCTTATTTTAGTAATTTCATGAGTTCGAACTGACTCGGTGCAATGAGAGCTGCTTGGATGCTCATATAGGCTCGTGATGATTGGGTTCCTCCCGTTTGGAGCTTGATTTTGACCCAGTGCATTGAACATCTTGGGTCTTTGAAATCTTGATGGTCTTGGGAAAGATCTGTGTAATTTCTTCAGTTCCTCATGAACCCGCCATGAGGACTGATGATGGATTCCTGTTCTGTCAAGCAAGATGAGGCACAAAACCTCTGATTCCTGCCATCATACACATCATACAGCAAATGTTTTCATCTTGAGCAAGTCTTCTGTAATCGTGTAGATCATCAGTGAGCTTCAGACCAGGTACAAACATTCATTTAATTATAACGCTGTAAATATCATGCATCATTGCTAAATAAAGTATTTTCCTATAAAGTTCAGTTTGTTCATTATGGCTTCTGATGCTCTGATATATGTTTATGCAGTATAGTTTGTATATGACACTCATATTCATGAGTGGATTCGTGAACGAAGATCGTCCACGAGAAACCTTTGAATCAGCTGATTACACTGTGAACAAGAACACGCTCACACACACACACACACACTCTCACACACACACACACTCTCAC